TTAGCCCTGCCTTATCAGCAGGGGATAATTTCAAAGACCCCAATAGATGCCTGAAATTGCAGATAGCACTAAACCCTAGATATACTATGCATATATAAATACCTATGATGAATTTTAAGGAATTATGATATGCTGTGGCCATATCTTCTGTAGTTTGAGTGCAATAAAGGAAATATGTATATATATATATATTTTTTTTTTTCTCCAAAATGTTAAGGGGATACAAATGTTTTTGTTACATGGATACCATGTAAGGTATAAGGCTAAAGTTGGGGCTTTTAGTGTCCCTAGCATTATAATAGTGTTCATTTTACCCAATAGATAAGTTTTCACTCCTCATTCCCTCCCACCCTCCCCTTTTCTTGGTTTTTGATGTCCTTTACATCTCTTTGTGGCCATGTGTGCGCATCTTTAGCTCCCAATTATTAGAGAACATATATGGTGTTTGTTTTTCCATTCCTAAGATACTTTGCTTAGGATAATGGTGTATAGTTCCATCCCAGTTAATGAAACAGACATTATTTCATTCCTTTTTGTGGGTGAATAATATTCCATGGTGTATATGTGCGCACATGTGTGTGTGTGTGTGTGTATACACACACATTTTCTTAGGCCACTCACGAATTGATGGGCACTTAAGTTGATTCTACATCTTTGCAATTTTGAATTGTGTTGCAATAACATTTGAGTCCAGGTGTCTTTTTTATAAAATGACTTCTTTCTTTTGGGGAGGTACCTAGCAGTGGGATTGCTAGATCTAATGGGAGGTCTACATTTATTTCTTTGAGGAATCTCCATAGAAGTCATTTTTCCTAGAAATTGTACTAATTTGCAGTATCATCAACAGTGTATAATAAGCATTCCTTCCTCTCTACACCCACATCAACATCTGTTGTTTTCTAACTTTTGAAAAATGACCATTCTGACAGGGGTAAGGTGCTAGCTCATTGTGGTCATCGTAATAATTTGCATTTCCCTGATGATTAGTGATGTTGAGCATTTTTAAATATATTTGTTGGCCACTTTTCTCACTTCTTTTGAAAAATTGCTGTTGATGTTTTGTGTCCACTTTTTAATGGGGTTGATGATTTTTTCCTGCCGAATTGAAGTCCTTGGAAAATCCGGAAAATAACCCCTTAATGAACGAAAAGTTGCAAAAAATTTAACCCAATCCGGAAGGTTTCCAACAAACCCGGGGAATAATTCCCTTGCCGGGCAAAAAACCTTTGAATTCCGGTTCCCTTTTCAAAAATTCAACGAAAAAAAAATTGGTTTTAACGGAACCCTTAACAAACCCAACAAAAGCCTTTTTATCCCTCCCTAATAAAGTGAAAAACTTCAACCTTAAAACTAAAAAAAAAAACTTAAAAAAACAACTTGGCAAAACCAAATGGCAACAACAACAACCCTGCAACTTGGGGCCAATAATAAAGAAAAAAAAAAATAACTGAAAAAAAACAACGGGAAAATGGGAAAAGTGAACCGAAAAAGGAAAAAGCCAACAAAGGAACAAAAAGGGGGGAACAAAAAATGCAAGGAAAACCCGGAAAAAAAAATCAACCCCCAAAACAATTGGCAAGAAAACAAAACAAAACAACCAAAAAAAGGGGTTTGGGGTGGAACTAAAAATTAAAAAATGGTTAATTCAGGAAATTTCCAATGAAAGGTTTCAAAACAAAAGTGAACAAAAGGAAACAAAAACGGAAAAAAGAAAAAAAAAAAAAAAGGAAGGGGCCACAACGGAATCCAACCGGTCAAAAAACCTTCCCCTGCCAACCTCCCAAAACGCCTAGTGGCCAAAAAACCCCAAGCAACCCTGCCGGAACTAAAAAAGAAGCCAACCCCAATCCGAAGGCCTTTTCCCCCCCCCAACTTTGGAAAAAACAACGGTGCCGCAAACGGGAAAACCAAGGGTAAAACCCCTGAACGGGGAAAAAAAAAAACCGCAAAAGAAAAAGCAAAAGCCGAAAAAAAGCCTTAATCCCCCAAAAGAAGCCCAACAAAACCAATGGGGGCCGAAAAAACCAATGGGGGCAAAAAAAAACCCCCCTCCCGACCTCCGAACCTCCGAACCCTCCGCCCCCCTTCCTCAGTCTCCTCCTGCTTTTATACCCTTGGTAGGGCTCAAAAAGCGTCCAATCAACTACAAGCTTTAACATCCAATCAACATCAAGCTTTAATATCCAATCAACAACAAGCTTTAACATCCAATCAAAAACAGTGGGATTCAAAAATTACCCAACCAAAATCACACAAGCAGCACGGCAGGAAGCTGGTGGCAGCACGTGGGCCCGGCCATATTCCGGCATGCGGGGCCCAGCCTCTCTCTGCCACAGGCCCCAGCCCCAGCAGTGTGCGTGCCCTCCAACTGACGGCGCAGCCTTGGCCCGCAGAGATGCGGAGCGACGGGGAGGAGGCAAGCAGCCGCATCCCGGCGCTTGACATTTTCCATATCACTACCAAGTAAAATCTGTTTTGTTTTGTTTTTTTTTAATCATTTTAACTACTGTCTGCCTCTGTATTTTTCTTTAACAGAGGCAGAGAAAATTTTATTTAAAGACTACTGCAATATTAGAGAGAAATTGAACTCAACTCCATTTGAAAGAAAAGGTGAGAGATTTTTTTAAGTGCTGAGAAAGCTGTAGTGAATGATGATGGGGGGTTGGTTAAGGTGATTAGACTGCCTGTGTTTGCTGATTGGCACTTAGGCAAGTTAGGGTCCTACCCTTTATCTTTCTTGATGACTACATTTCAAAGGCATGGCTCCCAAGTCCTTGAGAAAGACATTCCTACAAAAGAGGCTTGGAGAATATTTGTATACCTAAGGGACAGAGAAAATTTACATTTAGAAGTTTTCTAGAATAAATACTCTAAGAAAAGAGAGGTTAGGGGACTATAGTCAGGAAGAAATCTGTCTAAAATGTGGTAAGGCTGAGCAGAAGTTAAGGCCATTTTGGTCTTGCACTTTGTACCTTGGTTTTGTGAACCTGATGGGGAAGTCCCTGGGTGCAACATATGCAAAGCATGCTGATGATTAGATATATGTATGCTTATTGCTGGTTGCTTATTGTTTGTGTTCTTTCAATCCTGCTGCTGATTGGTTGCTTTTGAATCCCACTGCCGATTGGACAACTGCTTATGCTCACAGTTGACTGGTTGTATGTAACCCCTAGAACTGTATAAAACAGGAGAAGAACAAGGAAGTGGTGCTCAGAATTTGGTGGCATGCTCCTCTGAGCCCACAGGCAAAATAAAGGCTGATTCTCCGACTCTTTGTGTGCCGCTTGGTTCTTTCCCTGGTCAGTCGCTGTAACACTCACTGTAACAAACCTTCTTAATAAATTAGATTTTTTAAACTCAAAGATATTTTAAAGAATTATGAGATACTAATTCTCTACATGATTATAATAAAAAATGTGCTTTTTACTAAACATGTTTACCTATGTAAATGAAAATGAAAATGTCAGGATTGCCTCCTAACTCCTTATGCAAAAGGAAAGGCCTAACCTGGAGGCTGAGTCATGCTTTCCAAATGAATAGCTGTTACTAACATTATGTATTAGCTAGATCCCCAGAAAAAGGTGAAAGGTCTCAGGTATCTGCAAGGACTGCCCCCACAGATCGTTCATAAGGAAATTCCTTGCTAGCCCCTGTAAACAAGCACATTGCAAATTGTAACTTTATGTCTACAGGCTTTAAGTCTAGCTCCTAAAGCTAAAGTCTGCTCAATTCCACACTAATAATGTTGATTACAAGTTGATTTTCCCCAGTGTGGAACAGTGACATGACAAGATCAATCATTTTCTACCTACCCACGGACATCCACATAATTGATTCCCCTTCACTCTCTTTTTCTCTTCATTTACCTTATCTTATGTAAAATATAGATTTCCTGGGCCTCACAACAGTGTATCCATTTGCCTACTCCACTCTCTCCTCCTTTTCCTTTCTGAATTCCCTTCCCCCTATACATACTGAGTTCCAAAATCCTGCCTTGGAAAAAAACAGGATGCTTCTGTGGCTTGTGTTTTTCCTTGGTACCTCCTCAAATTTCGGCTTAATAAACTTCCTTTGAATGAAATGATTGAGTTCTTTCCCTCAGTTACTTTTGGGTTGTCACTGTTAACATAACATTACATAGGCATAACTAATTAGTCTTTAAAGACGTTAAAAGGAAGGAAATCCCAATGAAAAATAAAAGAGACATAGTATACAATGGTAATTAAAAACACAGAGGTGAGGTACAGTTTGTTGTGCTAGAAAAATTCTCTATATTGTACCCCTTGTGTCACCTAGAAAGCTCCTGAAGTTTTCTGGGGCTCATTTTCTCATCTTTAATATAAGCGAACTGATCCCAGAGTTGCTGTGAAGGTTGGGAAACTACACTTAGGTCAGATAGAACTAGAGTAAGCATTAAGTAAATGTTATTTACATTTCTCATCCTTTCCACTTTCAATATCTTTATTTTAAAAACCCACCGTCAGAAAATTCTTCATATTTTGATTCTGACAGTCAAATAAAACGATTTAAGTTCAGTCACTAGATCTTTCTCTATTACCAGAACACACTGTTCTTTCTTTGCCCATCACTTCCCCTGTCTCAGGACAGCATCAAAAACATGTGGACATATTCAGTTGAGTCACCATACAGGGAAGATTGTATGTTATTTAAAAATAGGAGTATTTTTCAGCAGATTTTTTGCTACCACTGGAAGTAGAAGGATTTTCATTTTTGATAATAGTTTAGAAGTCAATTGCTTCTCCTGCTAAATGCAGTGTCTCATATAAATTGCATTTTGTTCTTTTACTGTGTTTATCTCTCAGAAATCATTCCTTAAACCTGAGTCTATAGAAATTCTCTGGCATTGAGAACTTACATCTTCACCTCGGTGCTATGTGAAAGCAGGAAAGCACAGAGACATTCATTGTATGAGTGTGCTCTGTCTGCCATAACAAAATACCACAGTTTGGGAGGCTTAAAGAATGGAAATTCATACTTACAGTTTTGGCAGGTAGAAGTTCAAGATCAAGGTGCCCTCGGGGTTGGCTTCTGGTAAGGCCTGTGTTCCTGGCTTGGAGGCAATTGATTTCTTACTCTCTCCTCACATGATCTCATGCTCTTTCCTCTGTGAGCCTGCAGAGAAGTAGAGAGAAAGATATCTATTTGTCTCTTATTTTAAAGATACAAATTTTTTTCTGGGTTAGGGTCCTACCCTTATGACCTCAAGGGGGCCTAATCGCCTCCCTTAGGGGCCCTATCTCCAAATACTGTCACATAGAGGGAGATAAGGGAATGAAATGCAAAAGGCGAATTTACTTTTGTTATTCCTCCTGATAAGGACTAAACTTATCCCTCCTGGTTGTTCCCTAGGGAGATAAAGGAATGGAATGCAAGAAGGGACCTTACTTCCTTTATCCCTCCTGGTTGTCTGAAAATAATTTATTTACTCCTCTCAGAAAAACCCTCTATAAAACCCAAGGCTCTTCCCTTTTCTCTCCTGGATGCTTTTTGCAGCCTCTACTCATCTGCACCCAGATGTTCCAAATAAACAGCATTTTGCTACACATGAGGCTTTGGTGCCTCCCCTTCAGCTCTGGAACTAACAGTAAATTTATTTGTTCCTTTACCTATTAATACCAAATTTTGAAATTCTCTATTGAACATAGAAAGAATAAAATGTTCAAACACAACATGGTATTCTCTCCCATATAGTTCCATAAAATTGACACAATCACAAAATTTTAGCTAATGTTTATTAAATTTTATAAAATGCCAATGAAGTGTCGACAACTTTATAGATATAATTTGATTTATGTTCAATATTTAAATTTATATCAAAATTATCATAATATTCTCTTCTACAAAAGCCACCTTTTGAGGTTTGCTCTTTACCAGGCAGTAAAATGGACCTGCTTCTTCTCATGTAAGGCTTATGGTTTTCCACCTATGTCCATGGCTGGATGGAAAAATCCGTCTGAGTTTCTAGTGAAGAATGACTAAACCCTCAGATATAAAGTATATTCATCAGTGAATTTTATCATAATAACAATGATAATTTTGTCTTGACTTTTCAAACTATGGGAATATTTTTGAATTTAAGTGATGAATGGAAGACTCATGTTATTGATCCCTTAAAATTCCAACACCTCAGGGCATGACCTGGGGAGATTAAGGTTTACAAAATGAGTCAAATGTGGGTACTAACTAGTATTTAAAAGACTTGAAACCTCAGGCAAGGCAACGCATTTCAGGTTTTGATGGTGCTGTGGATATTCTGAAGCTGCAGACACTAGGAACCTACTGATAATCAATAATTCCGTTATTTGCTCCTAAAAACCTTATCTCTGCCCTGCTCATGAAAGTGCTTGGCTTGAGTAACATCCACAACCTCCTCATCTTTGTTTTGCCATTTTTTCTCCTGTAGTTATTTTCAGGAAGAGTCAACTTTTTTTTTCCTACTAGTTTAGCTTAAAATTAATATAATAACTTTAAAAAATCTTTTAAGGTGAGAAATCATAGCTAAATGTTTCTTTTAATTTTTCTTTGTTGTCTTGCCTAGGCTTTTCTATTTTTAACAAAGTCCATATTTTGTTTTGTTAAGTTGCACTAGGAAGAAAGGGCATCAGTAAGCTCAGTCTTTTTCAAAAGCACTTTTATGTTCTTACAAATCCTGTATACTATCACCCCCGAGTTGAATATTTCCACCCAAGAAATATTCTTTCTTGTAATAACGTGCAAAATATATAGAATGTAAAACTTATATTGATATTATTGATTCAAAATACATAAGTCAAGCATTGAGAGAACTTTGTAATAATTGTATAAATTCTTTGTCAGAATCCTTAATATTCCTGGTAGCATATTTTCTGCTCTAACAAAGCTATGTATATTGCTTTTGTCAGGATCTAGAGAATATTTTAATTATGAATTTTAATTGTGAATAATTGTAAATTATTATTTACTTTAAAGTAAATAATAAGCCTGACGCTTTTTGTTGCTGTTGCCCTTGATGTGCGTGCGTGCTCTCTCTTTCTCAATGGTGGTACACGTGTGGAGTGAATTCAACCCTCAAATCCGCCTGAAACTTAAACTTTTAGTATAAATACTTAAAGATTATTATTTTCCCCATTCTACCCAGATTGTGTTTGAAGCAATTTTTATTCTTGCTCTATTTCCTGAGAGTTATTTCCCCCCTTTTTCTGGTTCATACTTTCATAGCCATAAGGGTGATTTAGACTACTCTGGGGCTTCCAGTCTGTTTTCTCCTCTTCAGTAGGCATTAGAACCTTCCTGCTGACCCCATAAAGTTATTCAATAGGATTCTCTAAATTAGCAGTAATATTCCAATTTCCTGGGGGAATTTCTAGCTTAGATAATAGCTTTTATCTCTGGAGATGTACTTCATTTTGGTATGTGAAAATGATTTGCCTTCATTTCTTATAGGTTGAAAAATGCCTTTAAATTTGTTTTGTATATTTTAGTAAGCATATTCATATATTTTCAAAAAAGAAAGTTTTTCAGGATATGTGAATTGTCTTATTATCAGAATTGGAAGTCTCAAGGATTTATGTTTCTATTTTATTTTTTATACAAACCTATAATAGTGGACCAGTATGGTGCTCTACATCAGTACAAAGTTCATCTCAACCAGATTTACTGTTTACTATGGAAAATTAGTGATCTGAGAAGGTTGTCTCAAATTCCTTGAAAAAGCTAAATTGAACTATCTTGAAAAGAACTCTAGATTGCTTAGCACACTTTTGATAATTTTCTACCTTATTTGATAAGTGTCTTTAGCACCTGTAAACTTAACATGTATTAAATACACATTAGTAATATTTGTTTTCTAAATGCTATAGTTGGAATGTTTGGTCCCTGCAAACACATATTGAAATTTAGTTGCTTTTGTAACACTATTAAGAGGTGGGACCTTTAAGAGATGAACAGACTATGAGGGCTCTGCCCTCATAGGTGGTTTTAATGCCTTGAACAAGGGTCTTTAGGTAGTGAGTTCTCTCTCAGATTTCTGATATTCTCTAATGTGAGGAACAGTGTTCTTCCAATCTGGAGGATGCAGTATTCAAGATGCCATCTAGGGAGGGATGGATGGCCTCTCACCAGACCCCAATCTTGCTGAGACTTTGATATTGGACTTCTCAACCTACAGGACTGTGGGCCAATAAAATTCTGTTTATAATAAATTAGTCTATGATATTCTGTTATAGCAACACTAAAAGACTAAGACTGTGTGTGAGTGTATGTGTGTGTGTGTGTGTTATTTAACACGTGCAATGTTTGGGATAATTTGTCATATTAGGTGAAAATCTAATGGATTTCTGTGCAACATAGAATATTTTATAGATTTTGACTTGAGATTTTAATTTATAGGAAATGTTACCTAATTTGTAAGCGATATTTGAATGCATCATTAAATTTACTATCCATAATCTAGAGAATACTTAAGATTATTAGATTAATACAGGTTAGTAAATACTTGATAATATTTGATTTCTCTTAGAAAATTAAAGCACAGGACTTAAACCTGAATATATCAAAGAAGTTTAATTAATTTTTCATAAAGTTAAGATCATAAAAATAGGGGGAAACTGAAGAAATGATATTAAAAATGTGTAGAATTTCCAGTTGATTTCAAATGCTCACAATTATATATGCTTTTTCTTTATGGATCTGTAGCTAGTGCTCACAGATTTTGTACTTGCAAAAAACATATTATGAGTAAAATCTCTATGATGATTTTCTGGAGGTAGAAGTGCAAAACAGATAGGTGTATTGGATTCATCTTAACCATGTATACATTAGAGTAAAGACCAAAGATCAGGAAGAGAAAGATTTAGTGCAGATTCCATCACTACTGGCTTAACTACTCTTGAAATATCATGTTTTAAACCAATATCTTAAATTCCAATATTCATTATTTCAAACAGTCCTCATTCAATCTAAAGACATATATACATATATATATGTATTATATAGCATATGCTTGAATGATTATTTGATTTTTAAAATTTATTTATTTGAAATGTTTTGGGTAAAAATTCAACAGTAAAGATACATAAATCATGATGTGTGTTTTATTGACCTTAAACCCTAAATGGGATTCTGCTCTAGAAATAAAAGGTAATCCATCTTCCATTTCAAGCTAGTCCAAAAGATTGAATTGTGTTAAATGATGTGCTGCACTTTCTCAGATGTTCATTATTGCCCTATATAAATTTTGCTGAGATGAACAAACTCACTTACAGAAACTCTGTATGTTAGATTCACTTATTGAGCCAAAACTTGAGGTTATCACTTTGAAGTGTGGGAGACAATGTCTTAAAAATGAAAAATAACATTTTCTCCAAAATATTTGCTATATGAAAGCCTAAATGCTCTAGACACAGCTATCAATTATTTACCAAAGGCATGTATGGAAGCAATTTGTGGGTTGAAATTATATTTTTTAATGGCACCATAGAGCATGATACTAGATTTTGTTACAAATTTTTATTTGACACATTAGGTTTATAGGAATTTCTGCAGTATTTACTTCACTTTCTCTCTAAACCATAATATGTATACTATCTGACTATCAAAATCCTTTATAGAAACAAAGTGAAAAGAACACACACACACATTCATACACACATACATATATACATGTGTGTAATAGCATGCTAAGAATTACAATTATATTCTTTCTTCATTACTGAAAACTGACATTAATTTTAGCCAGAATAAGTATAATATTTGAGAATAGTTTAACTATACCCCTAAGAGTGCTAAGTAGATTATCTCATCAGAATACAAAATTGTGCCTATATTAATCAAGAAAATAAATTATACAGCATGTGTAATTGTCGGAAATTTTGCCAGAGCCAGTGTTTTATTTAAGAGATACTGTGGAGAGGCAGTTAATAAATGCCCCCAAATTGGTAACTGCACAATATGTGGCCTAAGAAGGAATACCTGAAATGTTAATGTTGACATGGTAATTATGCTTCTGAAATGTAAGAAGAAAAAAAAAATAAATCTCTGAGCAATGTGCCATGTTAAAAAA